CTGGCGGCGGCCGTTCGAACGGGGCTGGCTGCGGCCCCGGGCGGGACCGGACCGGGCCGGGAGCGGGACCAGGCTCGGTCTCGGCCTCACGCCTCGGGCACGGCCCGTCCGGGAACCAGAGCGCAGCCCCGACCCCCGGACGGTGCGAGGACAGGGACTGACGAGCCGCGGCTCGGAGCGCAGGTGGGGCAGGGAGGCGCTCGGAGCTCCCTCAGACAGGTGTGCCGCGCCTTTGAAGGCTGGGAATAAAGTGAGACAGCCCGCGCAAGGTAAAGAGACAGGTGGGAGGGAGCAGCGTGACACTGCCTTTTATCCGGGGAGGCTGAGGCGGCAGGTGAGGCACTTGGTAATAATTAAGCACCTAAAGGGCAAAGCGTGTGTGCGAAAGGGGAATTCTGCCGCCCGGATGGAACGAGGCACAGGCAGCAAGTGCTCAAAATACACCGGGGACACCTCTTGACTTCAAAAGGGCAACATTGGTAGCCCTTATTTTAAATAGGAAGAGGGGGGGAAATGTTAACACCAGTTAAGAAATGTATAAGGAATATAAGAGAAAAAGGGAAGAATTAACCAAATCTCTTTGACTTTCCTACAGAACCTGAAAGGATTTTGTGGTCTTAGCAGAAGAATGTCATCTTTGTTAACATGCACTTGTAGAAATCCTTTGTATGCAGGGTACTTAATTTTATTTCTCTCTGTGCAGGAAACCTGACATTGAACATACCAGGCACAAGTTAAAGGAGAATTCTTTCCTTTTTCTGGGGTTTTGTTGGGTTTTTTTCCCCAGTCTCCAGAGCAGAATATCCATCCCGCAACTCATTGTTGCTGTTATGTCTGTAAGATAATGTCTAAATTTTACTACTGTGGCTTAATGGTTTAACTTCAATAATTTGTCTAATTCTTATCCAGTTTTGGAAGTTGTTTCTTAATAATTCCTTTCTGAGCTGAAATGCTTATAGGATACCAGAGTCTTCAGGAAAAAACTCTTTGGAAAAAAGGGATCCTGCTCCTCTACTCTGGCTTTCTCATTCTGCTGGTTTTTTTCTTTGTCAGTCCATCCCAAGGAGCTTTCTACCAATCTGAGACATTTCAGATTCACCTAAATCCCAGTTTTGTTACCTCTCTTATCCAATTTTATGGGAAAAGCTTCTGAAAACTAAAAATAACCAAATAAAATAAACATTATGTCTTTTTCTCATCCTCACAGAAGACCCCATCAGAGATCAGTGTAATAGACTTCTGAATTTCTTCAGATGTACTGTTTCTCATAAAAGTAATTATTAAGTCCTTAGGGAGGCTAAAAATTCAAAATGCAAGGAAGAAAATTGAGTGGTTGATTTTAAACCTCACAGTTAATTCTTTCCAGTTAGGTACAATAATTTTAAAAAATAGGCCAGTGATTTAAGTTTGCCCAAAGAAGCTGTAATTCTTTATCCTTTTGACTGGGAATATGTCACAGGCAAAGAATTGTGTTCCACAAATCAAAATGGTTGGTTGGGGTTGCCATCCCTTAATAGCCCAATTATTTCCAGCTTCCACATGAGGTTGTCAAGACTTTATATCTTTTGCCACTACTTCTGTTGCCATGTTACCCCAACAGATCTAGAATTGATTTGCACAACCTCCTTGCCTATAGAATGGAAAAATTATCAATGTATTTCAGTCTGACCTAGTAAACAGCTGTAAATGAAGAAAATCTCTTGGAAAGTGACAAGTAAAGTGGAATTATAAGTATTCCACAGAGGTAACTGCAGGTGTTCCACTGTTTCTTTATGGAGTTAATACACAGGAGTTATGCTTTATTTTGCTTTGAAGAGGAGGAATGTTGAAAAGTGCCATCAGCATCTGCTATAAACTAATTACTCCATGGCAATGTCAGATTGCCCCTTCCAAATAATCTGAACCTTTTGTATTTGTGATAGCCAACAGAATTGCTTGCACTTTTGTAATAGCACAGGAGCATGTAATTAGTCTGACTTCACAGAAGTCTATTTTGTACTACAGCAGAATTTCCTATTTAAGTCATACTCAGGAAGGAAGAAGTGAGAACTGAAGACTGCCATGCCAACAGGTTTGCTCACTCTTACTGTCAGAAAAATCCAACTCATCCAGAATAAATTTAGTGCTTTGCTTCAGTACTTTTGGAAATGGTGATTAAGACTTCATGTTATAATCTGGAACAAGGTGATTAATGGTCCCTCAAAAATCCACACAGGGTCTCAGCTGTAACTTGCTGTTTTCACCACTGTTGGAGACAATAAAGGAAGAAAGGGTGTGAAACAAAGTGATAGGGATTTGTGTCTTTGGGGCTGGAAAAGCTGTGGCTTATAAGGCTAAGTAGCTTAATGTTGGGCATACAGACATCTCAATCACACCAAGGGTGGCTGTCACAAAACAGCTTGTCAGGCTTCATCTGGAGAGGTTTACAATGCATCCTGTAATGGAGTGTGATTTTTGCTGCCACAAGCACCAGATGAGAAGTCAGAAAATAAACATAGTCCAGCATCTGACACAAAGTCTGTGGTTTTAATTACCTTAGTTAAAGGAATGGAAGTGTTGGTTGTTCCAAAAAGCTTTTTAGACATACAGAAAAATCCTCACATAAATACCACTTTTATCATTTAACGTTTTCAACCTGTTTAAAGTAATAAAATTGTACATGATTGTCAGCATCAAATGCTTGTTAAGTTTACAAACATGATTCCAACTCTCCTAGGTTGATTTTATTCTGAACAGCAGACTATATATCATATACATTGTAGTTAGCTCCTGTTGGCCAGTTAATACATAGCTGGGAGCAAAATCATTATTATAGAACTTATTTTTTAATTCCAAAAGCTTGTCCTCCTTCTGGTAACGAGCCAGTTCAAAGGGTCAGCAAGATCATGTTTTGTACATTGAGGACTGCATGAACACACAGCCATCAGGCTCTACCTTGGTGTACTAGTTCATCTAATATTTAGAAATATGTTTCCCTTTGTTTCGAACATAGTTTTCTACCTGGTGTGAGACGCTCTTGGCAGTGGGAAATGGAAGAAAATATTTTTGTATAAATGCATTTTGGTTTGGATGATGGTGTTTTCTATCCATGCATGCTGATTTACAAAAACTCTTACAATGAGCTGTGAAGTAGTAGAAATAAATGGGGATGAATACTGATCCTGTTAAATCTTGACTGGCCAACGGAGGACATTTCCTCTGAAATCCTATTTAGGGATAAAAGGATTGATCCTTTTGCATCTACTTGGCTTTGTAATTGTGTCCTTACCTACTATGATATTTAATTAAACATTAAAATATATTCAAATAGATTTTGTGTGAAAAGGTTCTTTTGTGAACCTTTGTGTTTTCTTTTTAAATGTGAATGGTGCCACTTGCAAAATTGAAGGTTCAAATAGTAAACGGGAACAACTTTTGTGTGTGAAAACTGGCACAACCAGGCCATGGTCCTGAATGTGCCTTAGGAAAGCACTACAATATAAATATAATATCCTATGTTTAATATCCTAAGCAAATTACTTCCCCTACAATAGAATTGTCTTGATTTGAAAAGATAGGTGTCTGCTAAGGAAGGCAGGAGGCTCCCTTGAAATGGAAACAATGTAAACACACACACACACACACACACACACACACACACCCCTCCTCAAATTATGATTTTGAAATCAAGGGGCTCTCAGGCAAAGATATGGGAATAGTAATAGCACTTCTTTATTAGGAAAATTAAAATAAAAATGCAGTAGTACAAAAAAAAACTACACTGACAAGTCAGAATACAACCTGACACTCTGTTGTTCAGGGTGTTGGTAGCAGTCCAGTTAAATGGTGGCTGCAGTCCTCCTGGACAGATGTGGTTCTGTTGAAGCAGTGATCCTGTAGAAGGGTGTAGTTTTCCTCTGAAGGTCCAGTGGTGGTGTAGAAGGGTCTGGTCTCTCCTCTGGGATCCAGTGGAGAAAGGCTTCCTGTGGTGTTCCAAGTCTCAAATTATATCCAGGTAGGAATGCTTGGCTCCTCCCCCTGGGTGCATCATCCCATTGTGAGCATCTCACATGCTCACATGAGTCTCATGCAGTGAGACTCAATGGCCCATTAACAGAAAATATCCCCCTGAAGGGAGGATGGGTCATGGAAGAGATAAAGAACACTGCCCCACCTGCTTTAACAAGGATGGGTCATGGAAGAGATAAAGAACACTGCCCCCCATGGTTTCAACAGATGGTAACAGAATACCTACTTTTGGTTACATCTTGCATTGCAGCCTAAGATAAGAATGTGCTGTATTTATTTTCCCAAATTCACTAACAGGGTTCAAATGAAATATTTTGCTGCAGTCAAAAACTGAAAACACAAATTAGTGCTCACTGATGTAAATTTTTCTTTCCTTAACTATGGCTACATGTTGTTAAAGCTGATGTCATGTTAAACATTCAGCGCTGATGAACCCTAATTTATAGAACTAAAACATCTACATCAAGGACACAAGCATTATTAATACACCCCTGTCAAGAATTGGAAACCCAAGAATTGAGTTTGGCCTTACTTGTTATCAGTGAAAGCACAGAAACTTCTACCCACTATTTCTTGTGGGCAAAGAGTTTAGACCCAAAATTCCTCAGTTCCTGATAAATACCTTGCTGACCCTAAATGAGTGTAAATTTTTTGTTTCATATTGTGTCATGGACAGCTTCTGGTATTGTTAAAACACATACACCAAAATGAAAAAAACTTTCTAGTGTACTTCTTTCTTTTTTTTTTTTTGCTTTAAAGAGATTGTTGGTCTTGTTTGTTTATTTTATCTTTAAGCCTTGAAGCTTTAATTTTCTAATTCAAAACTGCCTTACTAATTAACCTGCTGTGGCTTTGTGGCGCCATTGAAGCTCTATCTCTTGTCCCATTGGACTCATTTAAGCAGAGTGCCTTCAGTTCCATTGGGTTTAAAAATGTGTATCATCCAGCAGCTGAATTTACATGTTCTGAAGAAGTAGTATGTATTTTTGGGGCTGTAAGGAAAAGGGATATCTCAGGGAGTTACTCCTTGTGGCTCTGAGTACCATGCCAAATAAGTCATTATTGTCTTATTCTGCAATGATAAGAGAGCAAGCAAGCTCTATCCTTGCATCTAAACAGCAAGCTAAATTAGGATCATACATGATATCCTCCAGTGGTCTGTTCCTGTCTCCTTCATTTTTCCTCTTTGAAGCCATTTCCAGTGTGACTCACAGATTCATGCACCATACAAGGGTGACACATGAGTACTCTGCTGGCTGAGTTATCACTAAGCACATCTGCTAAGTGATGAGGTACAAATGCCAGTCTAAAAATGCCCCTCATATGATTACATTAAAAGAAACAGTGAAAATAAGAGCCTGAGGCACTGAAGAGGTGACATGAGTAATAGACAGAGAAATCAACTTTGCACATTCCTATTTAACGTAATTCCTCTGATTAAAGACCCTGGCTCCAGGACAAACTATGCAGCATTAAAGTGAGGAGGAGGGATCTTCTACTCTCAGCAGTTAACCCAGGAATCAGAGAACACATTTTACCTTGCTCCAGTCGGTATGTGGCAAAGTCAAGTCCAGGCATTTTTCCATTTTCTCATCCAAGCTTTTTACCTCAGAACTTTGGAGAGGACAGAAAGTCTTGTTGGACCAAGTTCAGTCTGTCTACATGATACCTGCCAGACACACAGCTCTTCTTGTGGTTATCTCGTCTGAAGTTCAGCTGACAAGGCATGGCATAACTGCAGTGACATTTAGGTCCACCTTGGCAAAGATGGTTCTTGTGCAAACAGCACCCATTCTTAATAACACAGAATGATAGGATTCTGCCCTGGCTCTCAAATCTACTTTAGCTCACAATGACTTAATCTTCCCCCACCTCATCACTAGATTCTAAATGGCTTTTAAAAATAAATTAGAAGATATTTGTGCATTCCAGGTAAAAAACATCATGATTATTAGTATAACTTCAGTAATTAAAAACTCATAAAATGCACTGAGATATACTTACACAGAAGAGGATAAACTTTTTTGTGGTCCACCAAAACTTTGGTTTCATCTAAGAATAGACTTTCAGTTATTCTGAATGACCTTCTGAAATGAAAGTTGATTTGTTAAGAGACATTTTGGCCTTGATCGCATGTGTGGAGTTCTTCTCAGTACCTTTACTATTGTGTCTTAAGTTCCTCTCAGAACTAGGTTAAGGTCTTGCCTCCTATTAAAATTTCAGTCCCGTGGTAAAAGTTGAATGTTGAAGGATTATTTCAGCCTGTGGTGGCCTATTTCCTCTTTCATTTTTTTAAGGCTACAACTTCTGTTGTGATTTGCATGAACCAGGTGACCCAGGCATTCCTGCTGAAGTCCTGGTGATTATGGCTGGTCTTCCAAAAGCATTTTCACATTCTTTCCTTGACAACTGGCATCCTCCAAGTTATTGCCTAGCATGAATCCTAATTTAATCTTTTTCATAAGATGTATTTTTCTTAATAGTGGATTTAAACCAAATACCTTACACATCAAAAGTACTTCTTTTTCATTTGGAGTGGGCAAGGGAAGATCACAAGACTTTGCTGTGTCTCCAGCTAGGATATTCAGAGGCACAACTGCAGCTGTTTCCTGGTATCTCAGCACAGGGCTGTCAGCTGAAGATGCTGGTACCCTTGGCAAGCAAACCACAATGCATGTGGGACGTTGCATGGAGCTCATCACACAAATGAACACATACAGATAATCTTACAGAAGGAAAGCCTGCTTAAAAATAAAGTTCTTCAATGTACAGTATGCCTTTTTTAACTAGCTTCCTAAAATAAGGCCATGGATTATTCTCATGAGAATGCACAAACCAAATCACAGGTACTTCTTGGCAGCAAGGAGAGACAAAACAAGTGCATCATCTCTGGTATAATCTGTATTATGCCATTTCAACTGTGGTGAAATTCAGTCTCTTTTTACTGAATGTTAATGTTAATGTGAACTAGCTCTAAGTATGCTTAAATCTTTAAATAAATGAGCTGCAGATTTAAATCCTATGTGGACAGTTAGTTTTGCTAAAGATTTAACACTGGGGTATTTAATCTTCATTTAGTAAAGTTCCAAGTTACGTTAAATGAAAAGGAAAAAATATAAAACCTTATTCATGCTAGTTTAAAGAAAGCATAGGCTTTATAGTTAACATAAGTTCACATGGGCAAGGTTTTATGCATTCATGAAAGAGATTGCATTTGATCTGATTATATTGAATTAAAGATAAATTATAGTTAAACCTCTAGGGAGAAGAATGAGGATCATGGAGAGTTTTTTAAGTAGTTTTAATTAATTTTCTAAATATGTTTACTTTGCAGTTCATAGAAAATTGATATTCCTATACCTTCCCTCAGTGACACAAGCCTTCCTCAAGCTGTGATAAGTGCTTCTCAACATTTCAGTCTGTTGGAAATATTATACCTTTAATGGTATGAACCAATTCATCTTTTTCCTCACGATGCAGAGCAACCCAGAACTTACCCCTAAGGTAACAACATACAGTTAAGTGTTTTAGCTTGCTCCAAGGTAGATTCCCTGTGAGGCTTCCATGGAGGATGAAGGAACTTTTGAGTGCTGTCAGTTTTTTAGGACACTCTCCTGGAAGCACAAAACCGGTTCATGGTCTTTAAGAGTAAGGAAAGTAGGTGGAATAAGAGATTCCCTTGGCTTAAATGTGAGCTTTTGAGTCTGCTCAAAACCAAACAAGTCATACCAGAGAAGAAAAACCCATGGAGAACTACAAGGGCATTGCCAGAGTGGGCAGATGCAGTTACAAAAGCAAAAGCTCAGCTCAAATTGAAATTGGTCAGAGAGGTCAAAAAACACAAGAAATGGTTCTTTGGGTATATAAACAACAAACAGAAGGAAATACTGGCCCACTGTTAAGTGGCAGAGGTGAACTGGTCACCCATAATGCTGAAAAGGCAGAGATTCCCAACACATTCTTTACCTCTGTCTTCACCTTGGGACATATGGGAACAAAAATCCAGGTTTATACAAACACCGACAGACACTGTCAGTGAAAGAAGAGCTTGTCTGTGAACGATCACAGGAGCCTGACCCCTACAGATTGATGGGTCCTGATGTTACACATCCAAGGGTTTTAAGAGATCTGGCTGATGTAATTAAAAGGATGCTCTCCATAATCTTGGAGAAGTTGGGTACCAGGGGACATCCCAGAAGACTGAAAGATGGCTAATGTCACCCCATCTACAAGAAGGACTTAAAGGAGGATCCAGGAAATTACAGGCATGTCAGTTTTACTCCACTCCCTGGGAAAGTTGGGGAACAAATTCTCCTGGGGGCTATCACAAGTCAAATGAAGCACATGATTGGGAAAAGCCAGCGGGGATTCACCAAAGGCAAGTCATTCTTGACAAACCTGATCACCTTCTGACAACACAATGACCTGCTCAGCTGATGTGGGGTGAGCAACAGACATTGTCTCCAAGGCTTTTCTATATGTTTTCCCAGAGACTCCTCCTAAAGTAATGGATGTATTAGGATCTAGACAAGTGGTCCATGCAGTGGATGGGGAACTGGCTACCCAGATACAGCCAGAGGATGGTGGTAAATAACTCCTATTCATACTGGCAGCCTGTGACAAGTGGGGTCCCCCAGGGAGCAATACTGGGCCCACATCTGTTTAATACCTTCATAAGTTATCTGGAGGATGAGATCAAGTGTATCCTGATGAAGTTTGCTGAAAATACCAAGCTGGGGGGGGGAAAGTGGGCACTTTGTGAGGGGGAGCCACCCTGGAGGAAGACCTGGATAGGCTGGAAGAGTGGGCTGCCAAGAACTTTATGAAGTTCCACAAGGACAAGAATTTGCACCTGAGAAAATACAATCCAGGAGTGCAGCACAGGTGGGGATCTGGCTGGCTGGGGACCAGCTCTGTGGCAAGGGACCTGAGGGTCCTGGTAGACAGCAAGCTCGGTATGAGTGACCAGGGTGCTGCTGCTGCAGCAAAGAAAGCCAAGAAAGGCTGGACCAGGGTCCCTTCAACCTGGTACTATGTGGTAGTCAGATCAAACTGAGATCTTATAACCTAATTACAGGTAGTAATTAGTCAGCCCTACATAACTGGATGTCATTCACTGTGGATGACTGGTCTGCTTTTATAGAGCATACCTGAAATTATTCATCCTTATTAGAAATGTGGTTCAATAAACACCTTAAAATAAATGGTAACAGAATGAAAAATTTCCAGCCAAAAAAAAATATGCATAGGAAGAAAATTTCACACCCAAAATGGCAAAGTATTTCAAATGTTTCTGTTAAAACACTAAAAAAGATCAACACAAAAGTTTAATGATGCAGTCTCAAGCTTGCAGACACAGGAAGCTTGCTACCATAAAATCAGGGGAAATAGATTAGCAATCTAGAGACCAGATGGTTAGTATTTACTTGCTGACATAACACCACCAAATGTTCCTAAATTTCTTTTTTAAATTTGTCTTTCATATTACATTATCAGCATAGGAACTGATCTTGCAAACATATACATAAAGATTTCAATATATTTATTCATTTGGGTTGTCCCATTGACTTTGGAACAGGAAACTGTTCACAGAACCAGGCTGTGAACTTAGGGTAAGTCTACAGAGTTGTAAAGTATTTGCCTACACAGAATTGGGCAGGCTAAGTCTGGGGGGGAAAAAATAAAACCCTGTGTATGTGTTTTTGTTCTGGTTTTGTTATTTTCAAGAGAGCAGTTTATGGAGAATATGATAAAAGACATTCCCCATCCATAAATATATCTCCTTGTCTGGTGAATAACTGTTAAACTTGTCAGGGCCTGAAATAAGCTGAAGTCTTAGAATGCTTCTCCAATTTGAAGTCAAGGAGTAAAAAGAAAAAAACATTTACAAACATTTTTACCCAGCAAATTGTTAATACCAGCATGAGAAAATGCTGCTTAATTATAACAGGATCCTCCTACAAATTTCATAACCTCTCTCCTCTGCGAAAAATATCATTGATTCCAAATGTTTGTTCAGAGCCCTATTTTTCTCTAGTGGGAAAAACTGTCACTCCTTGCTCTACACTGTTTGTAACTTGTTTAAGTAATCTGTAGGGGCTCTCTACTCAAAATATACAGAATTTTACTAGCGTTAGTTTTTCATACTCAAAGTTTTCCCCTTCAGTTTTAGGTTTTTCCTTCATTTCCACTTTCTAAAGTGTTGTGTTCCCTCATCGCTGTCATTACTGGGGTTTTTTTTGGAGGCATTTACATTTCCCCTTTGTCCAACATATTTTTTCCCCATCCTCCATCAAAATCTGCTTTTCAATGGCTTGCATATTTCTCAGTGTCATTTCCTCATCTGCCTCCTCAGGTTCTTTTTCCTAGTGTCACATGACTTACAAAGTTACATCAATTACAAAGTCACCTGCCTCCAGGCAGTGTATTTCCTCCACTATTTAATTTTTCCATTTGCACCATCTGCGTGTCTATATGTAATACAAGCACTTCACTTGGTGGAAGTGATATCAAATGGAGCTGACCCCGTTACTGCCCTGAAAATAAGAAATTTGTTTTCCTATGCTACAGCTTCTTTGTTGATCACACTTCTAGAAGCCATGAGGGAGTTCCTTTAATGTCATAGTTAAAATGATAAACTTGGGTAATCCCTCATGTGCTCCCCTTGAATACTTATTATACTCAACTCCCTACTCATACAGACACAGAAGTAGTATCTGTTTTGCAAAACCAGGAATTCTACCAAGAATTTTAATTCCAGGCAGGCCTTTCAAGTTATAATTTGTCTGAATATCACAAATACTTAAATATCTGTACTTACAGCTAACTGCCCCATACAGATTAAAAGGCTGTGAATACCTTAAACAAAAAAAGAAATCCCCACAAAAAAACACTCAACCTACTTTTTCAAGTAAACGTTTCTCTCATACATGAAACTTGTAATATTTGTTTACAGCTTTGCTGTATTCATTCTCTAGCCAAAAACAGGGCTAGAACACAAGTAATCTGCATGGATAAGAATAAAGCCTTTTGTTAAAGAGATGATTATTTAAAATTGAACTTCTAAATGTAACTACTAAAGTGACGTTACATAGAAAAATAAGTCACAACTACCAGAAAACACCATTTCCTTTAAAGCAGTTATGTAAGAGAATGTTTGGAGTCTCATCTGGAATGACATGTATCATTCTGGTCACTCACCTTTAGAATGGATGAACTCAAAAGAACAAAAAAAACCAAAAACAGTCATCAAAATACTACCTTATAAAAGAGTATTATCCATCAGAAAAAGGGGTTGCATGAGGCATGACCTCTGGCTCTCAAGAGTAAATGCTAAATAAAGCAGCAAAATCTGTGTTGATACAAGAAGAAATTGGTATAAATTAACCAGGAATAATCCTAGAAGCAATCTAATAAACTGCATTTATCTGTCTGTAATTCAGCTCTTTATATAACTTTTGAGGCAACACACCTAACTCATTTTAAGATACAGGTCCACACATTTACAAAAGGGATTATATGACATGGCTCCTTGTGGTAGCAGGCAAGGAATAAGATTTTCTCCATTCTTAGGTTCCTACAGATCTGGAGCTGTAATGACATGGAAGGAGGGGGGCTACCTACTCTACAGTACAAGGTTCAGCTGTGCTGCCATTGTTATTGCTCATTAATTTGATTTAGTTGCTATATTATTCAAGTAGATAGTAACAGTAAATACTATTCATTCCTGTGGTGTCAGGAGAGAATTTCTTTGTATCTTGCTGTAAACAGGTTAAAGTGTCAGGAAGCACTGAACAAGCCTACCTGAATCTGTGATAGATCTGCATTTGAACTGTGTAAAACTCTTGGGAGAATCAGAAAAGAAACTTGGCATTTTTCCAATCTTGCAATCTCTGTAGTAAAGGTGGGGTGAGGGACAGTTACTTTGTTTAAATTTCAGCAACCCCCATTTTCTCCAAGTTCAGTCTTCTACTGCCTTTGCCTTACCCTGTTGTCATTAATTAAACTCTATAGGAATGGGACACATTTAGCTACTTAATAATTCTTAATCTTCATACCTGGAGGATACTCCAAGAAATATTTCCACATATTAATTTGCTTGGTGAGTATAACCTTTATCCTGTTCAGCAAGCATAATTAGAGATTTATTTGTTGTGTCAGGAATTCAAAATGTTTTAGCTCACCTGTACATAGGCAACAACACTTTAAATTATATAGGAGAATGCAAACACCTTCAAAGACAAAGTTTCAAGAGGGGACATTATTCAAGAGCGAGAATGAAAAATGGCCTGAGTTCCTTGTACTAATTCTTTAGTTTTTATACTGGAATCCAACCTTTGCTCTTGCTTTTACAGTAAAACAGGCAGAAATATGTTTTTTTTAAGGAGAACACAAAAGGAAAAGGCATATCAGAAATTCTGTCGGCCAATTTTCGAATTTAAGTGGAAGATTACTTCAATGTCAGCTTTCATGGAGGAGCCAAACGCCAGCTGGTGCTCCATCTCCGTTCCCTGGGTACAATGCTCCGTGCCTGCGGCTCCCTCGTGTGGTGCATCCCTGTCCATCTGGGCATCAGCACAGCACATCTTTACCCTGCAATCAGTAGCTGTGAACCTCTCAGTGTGGTTATCATTCCCAGTATTCTTTGCTATCCCAAAGCATACTATCTGCCCAGCAATAAGGAGTAAGTTTCTACTTTTTCTTTATTTCATTTGATAGACATTATATATATGTATATACACACAGTACAATACTTTTCTTTTGTGATAGAGAATAAACGAAAGTTTTCATTGCTGGTTGTTTGTTAAGTCAAGATTCCAGTTAATAATGAAAAAAATCAAACGTTTAATATCAAAAGCAACTTCAAGTATTTTCTATACATTTTAGTATTCAGTATATAGTAAGGTGGTTTGGGGGATTTCTTTTTATATCAAAAAACGTATTTTAATAGACTATTTTTACCCTCATACTTTAGAGTACTATTCATATCAGGCATGGAGTTTAAAATTATGTATCTCATGGTCCCAACTAGCTCTTCGCAAGAACCATAGGTCACTTATACAATCAGGCATATGTCTCAAAACAGGGTTAAATCATCAGCAAAGTCAAGGTGCAATAACCATGTTTAGAAATGCATTATTTCATTCTCCTAAAACAGATTATGCTGCAGTCCTTGATGTGAAGCAATATACAACACCACTGTTTGCAAAACAATACCTGACTTAGGCATAAATAGTACTTCAGTTCCCCGAGCTATTTATCCCTTAACCTTTCTGTATAAAAATAATTCAACTTAGGTATATATTGCACTAATTTTATCATACTGGATAGCTCTCGCCCTGCATTATGTTTTCTTTGCTGAACTAGGATTACACTAGGGTTTTAATTTCCATGGAAAATGTGGGAATAGGGCAACAGACACACATATGGTGTGCAATAAATGTTTATCTATAATAGCAAGAGTAATCTCAGAGGCATTCACAAAGGAAACTACACATTAGACTTGGAGATCATTTTCTCCAGTAGATTCATCATTCTCTCCTGTAACTGTAAGCTTTGAACTTGAATGATGTTCTGCTGATCCAGGATCCTGCGCACTTCTCTACAGGTTTCTTCCATAGCTCTACTCAACTTCTTTTGTTCTTCCAACATGGCTTCCATTAATTTTAGCTTCTTCTTTTGGAAACTGCAGTTTTGCATTTTTCTTTTCTTAACTGGTCTTTCTTCAGCTCTGAAATGTGAATATTTGTTAGAAATTAAACTCATATTTATAAGAAGAAAGAACCCAAAATTCGATAGCATATTCTTGGCCAAGCTACATCCTAGACATATTTAAATTCCCTCTCAAGTTTGTGCCAAAACATAAGTATTCAATGTATTATTGCATAGTGTTACAGAGAAAAAGAAAGAAAAGGGGGGAGGGGAGGGGAGGG